AGAGCGTTTTTAACTCTCAGTGTTCCTGTGACTTTGGACCTGGACACGACTGATGACGTCAGACTTAAACAGCAGTCCTGTAACCAATGCAGAGGAGTAATTTCCCTACGGGGACTAACACAAACACATTACACATCACGTTAACTTTTATCGAGTAGGAAAAAGTTGGCGTTCATCCTCCAGCTTCACTGTGCTAATGTTATGCTAACATAGCTGTGCCGCTAGCGATCACGTAGCACATCATTATATAGCAGGTAGTCCAACTTCAGTAACCCTGCAAACGTCACTGCTGTTTAGTTTTCTGTCTTCATTTATGTTGGAAGTGATAGCAGAGCTGTATGTTTGGATTGTTTCATAAATCTCTCAGACAGAACATCTTAGTTTAGGTGTAAACTAGCGAGCTAACTTCCTGCTAACTTCTAACTCTATTAGATGTAATAAATTCTGTTTTCATGGATGTTAAACTTAATTGTTACACCTGGTAAAGCAGCAACGCTGATGATTTTATTAAAGATGAAAGAATTTAGACCGTTTTTAACTCTCCGTGTTCGTTTGACTTTGGACCCGGACACGACAGATGACGTCAGACTTAAACAGCAGTCCTGTAACCATTAAAATGAGCGCTGGCAGGTGTGTCTGTGCTGTGGAGGGCTGGACGATGTGGATTACGAAACAAAATCCAATTTTGATGTTTTTAGGCTGGATGTTTTAGACACGATAAAGACGGGCTTATTCATGTTCCTGCTCTCTGTTTCCATGAAGATGATTTTTATTTGCACTCTTTGAGTCACGTAGACAAAGATTTCTGTTTTCCACTTTTTTTAAATTTTCACGTTCAGGGTCGATATGTCAGATTATTTTCAGTTTTCATTATAAACTTCAAACATCATGAAAACGAGTCGCTGACAGCTCGGTCAGAACAGCGGAGACGAGACGTCACAGAGCCACAAACCAAACCTCAGAGACGTCGCTCCACCTGCCTGCTGCTGCCACACCTGTGCTGTGAGCACAATCAGATCTCAGAACAGGAAGTGGAAGTTATTTAACGTGTCTGTAAGACGTGAAGTCTCTGACTTAAAGTTTCTGTTCTCTTTCAGCCACGACAAGCTGCCGAGCGTCCGGATAAACGTGGAGAACGAGGACGGGCAAA